ATGCTCCTCCCTGTGGCTTCCCACTGCCATCCACAGGACAAGTCTAATTGCTCTGTGTACGTTAGTCCTCACAAGTAATGACCTCACCCCAGCGTTCAGCTTCTCTAGCCCAAACATCTGAAATTCTTTCATAATTTCCTTAGATGGTGCCCCCAACTACATCGCCCTACTGGTTTAGCTCCTCTGGCCACAGTGGCAGTGACCCTGGTACAGTGAGGCAGCCTACAGTGTCCGGGGTGCTGAAAGCATTCTAGAGCTTGATCTGGGTGGTGGTTACACAGATGGGCTGCGTGCTTATGATTTGTGCCTTTCATTGTATGTAAGTTATATTTCATAAAATAGTAGAAATTAAAAATAAGTAAACAAAAATAAAGCGAGATACTCCACTGTTGATGCAATACCCAACCTCTCTATAGTCAAAGGCCTTCCTCCTCTCCTCTCCTCTCCCCTGCTCTCCTCTTTCCTCCCCTCCACACCCCTCCCTTTTGTGCAGGGCCCTTGAGCTGAGACAAGCAGTAAGGAAACAAGTGCAGCAATGAGATACTTTCTGTCCTAGGGATGCTTTGAGAGCCTGAAGGGGAGGAATCTCATTTTGCCTAGGAAGATGTGGTTACTGAACTCATGGAAGAGGTGATTACTGAACCATTTTCCAGCATCATCACATTGTCCACCTCCTCTAGGAACTCTTTCCAGATAAATGCTATCCAACCCCCAAATTCCAACAAGCCCCAGATTTATTCCTTGCCCACTACTATCTTCACAGTGTCAGCTGTTATGCTCGTGGACTGTCAGCTGTCTCTTCCTGCCACCAGTTACACTGTGAGTTCTTAAGGGCTGGGACTACATTTACCTGTACCTCTAATTCTCCCCACTCCTACCCAGGTGTCTTACCAAATGCCTTGCAGATAGAGTCCTGGATGAATAGCTGGGGAAGTGAAATATTTGCACAATACCTTTGCAATTATTTTGAGTATTTTATTTACATATTTTTTTCTCCTAATAACAGCACGTTCCCCAAGGGCAGAGGCTGTCCTACATTTCTTCTGTGCTTTGTACTCAAAGCTCTAGCCCTAGCTGGGCACTTTGTGGTCTTTCTTAAATTTGAAAGACAAAATCTTGAATGGTTCCTTAGCCATTCTTCGATTTCCCTCCTTAAAAATTGGAAGAGAGTGACCCCCGTCCCTCAAACTGTGGAAAGTAGATTGAGATCCCTGATCGAAAGACTGAATAGATTGGCAGAAAGGATCTGTAGGAGTGAAGGGTTCCCAAGCTCTTGCCGAATGAAATCTTTTCCTTTGCCTCAAAGGTCACCTACTCAGACAGCTTTCTTTGACTTTCCTAGGGTCCCTTATTGGGGCTGCCAAACTAAACCATTGCTAATGATCTGTTTACTGCCTCTCTTCCAAGGCCAGGGCCATGGAGTCCATTCTTCATTGGTTGCAGGAGTTGATTCATTGGTGACAGATGTTTGCACTACACTGACTCCCACTTACACCTGGAAGTTCATAAGCAATAAATCAATGGCACTTCTTGGACTGTGGATAGGTGATCTACATCCTGGAAATACTCAAGGAGAAAGCAAACAAGATAACATAGAGTGAAATAAGAACTAGATACCCTATGGTTCTTTACCATGCCTCACAGCTGCTCTTTACTGTATAAACCCATCATATACATTTTATCTTTCTTACTGTTTCTGTTAGAATTGAAAGCCTTAAATATAAAAAGACTATACAAAGAGAAAAGATCTGATTATCGCAGCCTAGAGGGGAATCATGGGGATTTTATGTTGGCAGGATCCTCCAGGTTACCATGAGCCTGCCCCCGGTCCCCAGGGCCCTCTAGTCTCTGCTTCCCAGACTCTCGGGAGGCCGGGCAGGAGCAGTGGAGTGACGTCTCCAGTTCAAGGTGATTAAGCACGTTCTGCTGTTCATCTGGCCATTGGGGCATAAGGCCACCCCTCCCCCACCTCTGGATTTTGTTTTCCCAGCCCCCACATCATGGCCTTGCTGACCAGGATGTGGAGAGTGGATTGGCATGTTCTGGGGGTTGGCATGGGGCGGTTGGCAGACAGCTTGGTGCCAAGGACTGCACCTGGATGAAACAGCCACCCTACCCTAC